AACCCACAGCCCACGACCTACAACCTCGCAACCCTATAGCCCACGACCTACAACCTGCAACCTATAGCCCACGACCTACAACCTGCAACCTATAGCCCACGACCCACACATACTTACGAATTACTTCTCCAGCCTCTCCCCCCGCCAGGCACCCGCCCGCCCGCCCCCCGGCTCCGAGCCGCCCTCCTCGCGAACAGCAGCATTGTGGGACGGGGGGAACGGTCCAGGGAAGCCCGGCGGCCCTTCGCATCAGATGGGACGCGGCAGACGTCCACGAAAGAGCCCTGGTAGAGGACGTCTCCAGACCATTACAGCAGAGCAACGCATGCAGGTATCCGCAAGCATAGCGCTACCAGTTCTGAGGATGCCGTTCAATCCCAGAACTTCCATCTCGGCATCACAGCGCACAGTCTCAGCGCAACGGCGCAGGGACGGGACTACCGATCGCGTTCATCGCCGAGGAGAGAAGAAGCACAATCGAGGACAGCAGGAAGCGCAATTCGGCCATTACTCACATGCGACGACCGACCCGGGTAATTCGGCTTCACCTGTATGGTGAGGAAGCGGTCAGCGATAATGATCATCGACTCATCAGGACGCACCCAGGCGGCGCTCGATGCGTCTATTACTCTCGAGCCCCCGCGGGGTGAACGCCCTTCTTCGGGAGTGCACTCACGTAGTAGCAGCCGGCGAGGCACTCTTCCCAAGCGCGGCCGCTCACGGCCTCTGCGAACCCGATCGAGACGATGCTGCCGTCCGGCGCGTCGGCCGCGCTCACTGAATCGGAAGCAGGCTGTCCGAGTACTGCGACGAGGACGTCTGCAGCGAAGTAATACGCGTCGAATTGCTCGCGTGTGTATACTTCGCCGGGCAGAATCTCTTGTGGATAGGTGCGGCCGCCCGCGAGCTCATCCGCGAACGTACGGTGTAGGTAGTCGACGAGTCCCGGGAGCGCTCGTGCGGTTTCGAGGGTGACATGGTGCAGAGTGAGGTGCTTGGGAGCACCTGAGCGTTTGGAAGCGAGTTTCCATGTTGTGGAGGGGAGAGAGGAAAGAGAGCGGGAGGAGATGACGCCGTAAGCGGACATGCTGCGGATGGGCGTTTGCATGAACTTTCTGCCTCTTTGACCTCCACCGTCATGCTCAAAACACTCACGTTTCTGGCTATGTTGGCGACGAGCGGTAGGTACTTGGTAGCAGGTTACTGTCTGGAAGGAACGACGGCCGATCTGAGTGACGATCGAGTCACACCCTACTCGGTGAGGCGGCGGGACTCGGCGGCCTTCCGATCGATTCAGCTGCTAATTTCTTGTTTGTTTGACAGTGCCTGCCAGCATCTCTCTCTCATGCGCATACTTGTTCTCTACTCTGTCCGCTCCAAATTTATGCTGCCGATGACGCCAACACTTTCTCGATATCCGAACCATAATCGCCCTCCGACTTCCCCGGTGCCTTGCCCGGTCCACTAGAACGGATATCGTCACGAACGAGCAGATGGCGGCAGATGGGTTCGAAGCAGGTGTACGTCCCTCGAAAGCGCCAGGAACATCTCGACGAGTGCTCTATCGAGATATCCGGATAAAAAACTGCGACCTGCATCTTGCGCAGCAGCATCTGAAGCAAAACTCTGTCAAGAGCTTTCAAACTGTCAACATAGCTCGTTCTCGTAGCTTGCAACAACATAATATCTGGATATCGAGGTGAGATCTACGAGTCTTCCATAATTACCAATAATACATATGCTAAACGAATGGCAGTCCGAGCTGCAGTCCCTATGGACAATCACAGATAGATTTCCTGCTCCGGTAGGAGAGGCTGGTCCCGTCCAAGGCTCACTATAGGAGACCGAGGGCCGAGAGACCTCCCACGGCCGCGGCGCTGAACGCCACAACTTGGGAGGCCGCTCCTAGAGCCGGCAAGGCTCCGGAGTTGGACACCGCGTCAATGGTGCCGTTGATCTGTCATGATGGTCAGTGTCATGTTTGGGCGAAGAGGATGCATAACAACGAGACTCACCCCTGCGCACCCCTCAGGGCCCGAACATGCGATGTTGTTGTTTTGGGCAATGACGTTTGCTTGTTTGGGGTCTATGGGCGCGGGTGATGCGGAGACTGCGAGACTCCCGGTGAGCACGACTTGCTCAAGTAGATGCGTGTGCGTCGGAGTCGTACCGAGAGTGAAGGAGACGGCAAGAATGAGCGTGAGGGTCTGGATGGCGCGTGCGTACATCATGACTTGCGTGATAAGATTGGTGTCGGTTGGTATCGTGGTGAGAGAGGTATATGGATGGATGTGGATGGTAAGGGGACAGTGCCGGGCGTTGAGAGCAGGGAGAGGCTACAGAGAGGCCGGTCAACGAACGAGGATCCTCAGTCCGCTTTCCAGGCTTTTTATCAATTCCAGAGCTCTCTTCTCGTCCGTTACCTTGTATTTAAGCGATGGGAAGGGAACTCAAGCAACGACGGCCAGCGGGACCACTTGACAGGGAGTGCCAAGTCCGGAAGAAAGTGCGGGGCCACGTGTGGGGTTCTGCAGACGCCCATCTGCTTTGGTGCTTGCTCGCCACCACGCACTGTTCATTCATCCCCGCTTGCTCTCGCCAGCCTCTCTCTCGAGTGCGGCAGGTCAGCGCTGTGTCGCGCGACGTCATCGCGGCGACGCGCGTACGCCACACCTATTCTCGTCCGATCGCGTCCCTCTTAGGCGCGCGTCCACGCATCCTGGCAGAGGACGACGAGCATCGACTGGCCTCGCTCGATCCAAGCTCACTCGACCCTCCCGACGTCTTGCGCCCTCGCCCGCCATTGTGCCCGACGCCTTGCGCCCTCGCTCGCCGCCGCGCCCGACGTCCTGCTCCCTCGCTATCGCATACGCTCGCCCGGCTCGCCTCTGGCTTTCGAACGACACCGCTCTCGCCAGGTACGGACCAGAACTCCGTGTGCTGCATTACAACGGCGCCTGCGCTGTCTACTGCTTTGCTACTGCTTTCAGTATCTAGTCATTCATTCCTCCATCGCCACGCTACCATACAAACAAGCGCCCTACGTGCCCGCCTTCTGCCTCGTCTCCGGTGCGTATATAGCTACATGAAGCCCCCCGCCTGAGCTATCCCATCCCATCCCCCCCACCCACGCCGTCGCTGTCCCCAGCGTCCGCAATGCGACGTCCAGGTGAGTACCAACATGCATACGAGAGCGGAAAACGGCGCTTAGGCACACTGCGCGACGCCGTGAACGCTGTAGTGGTAAGTATTCCCCCCCTCTGCGTGTGTGCTCACGTCGCTTCGGCGGCCCATTTCCTCAGGACGGCCCCGCGTTCGCGCGACGGCGCCGGGGTGCGACGGCTGCGCGGGCAAAGCAGTGAGCACGTAGCGGCACAAGTGAACGACGTACCAGCAAGAAAGGCGGATGGACACGGGCGCGGGCAAGGTCGCCTTCCACGTCGACCGCGCCCGCCCGTCCGATTCCATGCTGCGGCCGAGGACGCCGCACGCGGGATACACGTCCCGCGACGTTGGCGACACCATGCAGCGAGGTGGCCGTGGCAGGCGCAGGTGAGTTCGCGTCGTGCTTGTCTACTATGTACATACTTACGTCGCTGCAGATGCTCGCAGCCCTCTTGCTGCGCGCTTCCGCCGCCTTTGTCTCACACTACGCCGCCGTCCTCCATCCTCAATGTACGAATCATACAGCAGCAGTATGTACGGCTAGACGACGCCCCCCGCATGGGCAACCCTTTCCCTCCCCATGGTGTCGTCTACGGAGAGGGCAGGTGAGTCAAAGCGCACACACGAGGGCGAGCTCGTACTTACCTCCCAAAGGCACCTCTGCGTGCGCACACGGCGACGGCGCCACGGACGTACAAGCAACGTCGAGCGGCCCTGTAAGCGAGGTGAGTACTTGGCCGGTGACGAGTCTGTGAGTCGGCTCACGACATGATAGCGGCGCGTACCCACGTTTCTTCGAGATGACCGCGTGTTCACAGGACGGCGGCAGAGCGCAGAGACTGCGCGGGCAGAGAAGTGAGCACAAGACGACACAGGTGGACGACGTACGGGGCAAGACAGCGCACACGGACACAGGCTCGGTCGCCTTCGCCAGGCTGGAGGACGGGGCAGAGGAGGCAGGGTGGGGAGCATGCGCGCACGCGGAGACATGCCCTCGCCGTCCACCCCCAGCCCCAGCTCATAAGGGTTGCGTGCCCAGACACCTCCCACGCACGTCGCCGGCGCGCCATGTTCGGCTCCTGGCTCGCCGCCGTGTCCCCGCACGCGCGCTCCGCCGGCGCGTGCATCACGTCGCGCTCGCGCCCGCGGCGGAGGGCGCGTCCGTGCGTGCACTCCCGCCGTCCTCCTCGACAGCACCGGCACGCCTCGCTCGGGGCGGATGCTGCACCACACGACGGCCCGAGAGGCGCATTCTGTCTGTGGTCCAGCATTGTGCGCGCGACGACAGCGACACGGGGTAGGACGGCGTCGTGCGCGGCCTCGGAGGCGGCTCGCGTCCGCAGACGTGCAGTAGTGTGGGACGGCGGGGCGCGATCGCCCGTAGACGGAGACGGCGGGCATGCAAATGGAGCATGGTGGATGCTGTTTCGGGAGGTCGTGCGAGAACGCACACGGGCGTGCACGTCGAAATTGGGCGTGTTCGCTAGGCAGCCGGCGTCGATGCATGCACTTTGCGTTGTGTATTACAAAATATATTTGGATTCTGCGTCTGCGACATGTACGTGTGCGGAACGAGACGGCCTGTGCACCGGGCATGGAGCATCCAATTTCGCGATGCTCGGCGGAGGGTAGCACGCGACGGTGTCGGGCGGCGGAGACGGTGTTCTCGCGCACGGCGTGCGCCCTCGCTTCGCGTCCGAGATGCACAGAGTTAGTGTGGGACGGCGGCGAATCCGCACGCGAAGACAGATGGCAGAACAGTGTATCGGGCGCGCGTACGAGGGCCCGGGTTTGAGGGCACAGGGCGCACGGGTTCAGGAAGGCGGTCGCACAATGTGTGTATCTGGCGCGGTAAAACAACATACAGTTCCAGCCCGCACTCGTCCCGCAGTGTGCGACGTCTGCGCTATGCAGTCTGCGCAGGGCAGAACGCAGTCCGTGGATCGTCGGCTGCACGCATCTCCGCCGGACATGCCATGTCGCAAGAGGCAACTCGCCTTCGCGTCCACGCGCACACGGACGTCGGCGGAGGTATGCGCAGCCCGCTAGTCTGCAAAAGAGGAAACACGACGGCGACGTTGGTGAGCACGGGCGCATCATGGCGGGGAAGGCTGGCCTACCGCCGTCAAAAGCCAAAAACTTTCCGCTCGCCGTTCGGACGCGAAGTGCGCCGGCGCAGAGGCCTCGACACGACGGCCCTGCGTCCATCAGCCCGCCTTGAGCTGCGTACGAGCCGTCGCGGTCTGACGCGTCCCGCGTGCGCGCACATTCCGCATTCCGTCTGGCGTGCGTGCGGGGACTGGGCGGAGGGGGCCGTCCATCTCCTCTGCGACGGTGTCCGAGTCCGTGGCGCGCTGCGCGGACCCACAAGTGACGGCGCCCCGCTTGCACGTCCTGGACGTCGCCGCACAGACGCACGAGGCGTGCCTGTTCCAGCCCCGGCGCGCACCGAGGACCTGGCACGTTCGTCACCGTCGTTCGCATCCGCCGTGTCCGCTGCACAGAAGACGGGCACCGGCGCCAGGCGCGTCCGCCATGCCGACGCGGGGATCTACGTGACGGCGGTGAGCAGGATTGATCCGTGGGCGGGGAAGGACAGCTTGAGTGACATACCGGCGCGATAACGACGACCCGCGGGCGGTCCCGAGCAGCGTGCGCGCACGCTGCCGCCCGCAGACGTGGTTCCGACCGGGTGGGCTCGTGCCTCCCCGAGCAGATCGTCGTCCGGGATCTCCGTCGACGACGGGCGGCCGTGGAGGGAGATTGCGTTGACCGCTGGTCTGCGGGTGTCTGGCGGGGCGGCGGGGCAGCGGGGGCTCTAGCATCGCGGAGATGTTGTGTGGTACGACATGGAGGGAGTGATTTGATTGCGCTGAGGGTTGTGCTGCGTGCGCACCACCGAGTCCGCGATGTCGAGCGCGG